AAATTTCCAGAGCCCTCCACCACAGCGTCTCTCATATTCATAGCATGGTTTTGGGCTGTTAAACCCCACAAATCAATCAATCAATCAATCAATCACGGCACAGCAATGGGCTAACATGGTATACCTGCCTGTACACAACTTGACAAGTAAGTAGGGCGTGCACTGCCAAAGCTACGCCTGTTTTATCAGATTGTGATGTTGCACAGCAGCTGGCGCTTACTGCGCTTCCTGTCTGTGCTTGCTGTTGCATGACCACAGTGCAAACTTGTTGGAAGAGGTGTCGCATCTCGCCACAAATCCAGCAAGACATGCCTGAGAGAAGTTTGTATAATGTCATTGCTGAGCGTTCTCCGACGCTTGCCGTCTGTCTGGGCATCTAGCACGAAGCTACGTGACTTGAATGCCGTGTTGGAAGAATATTTTTGCACATTCTTTGATTTTTTGAAGTCCTCCGGCCGTATTTTTTCAAGGTGAGATTTCAGTTGTACCCGCCTCGCTAGTCCAAGTGGACGTGAGGGCGTGTTCTTTGTCGTTGTTTTACACTCCAGGCAGAGTTTAAAAAAAGCGTTAAAAATATTTCAAATAAATGTGAATGACACTAGAGGTCTTGCCCATTTGTGAAATCATTCTAGTCCTGCCAGTAGTGAATCAACAGAAGATTGCAGTAATAGCTGCTTTCAAGGGGAGTGCCACCGTGGTTGATGTCATTGAAAAAATTTGAAGCGATGAATCTCAGAACGCGCCGCAGCACTCCGAATATTTATGTAACTCTTTACTGAATGGCTAGTAAAGCGTATGGATGGGCACTGTCTCAATGCAATATAGGGATCGATTGTTGGATTAAAAAATTAAGATTTGAAAATTGACACGGCAAGGTAGACTGAAAAAAGAACACTGGAATGCAAGATAAACGAGAAAACATAGGTTCAAGCACACATTTCATAATTTCGCGTAAAATTTCACGGTATATTAGTATAGCCCTCTACTAAGCGTTATGCATACGGGTAACTGTGCGTCAGATAACAAATTAATAATTAACTAATATGTGTAGTTTTACGTCCCTTAACGACGATATGATTATGAGGGACGCCATGGTGAAGGATTCCAAAAATTACGACCTTCTGATGTTCTTTATCATGCACTGACATCGCACAGTACACGGGCCTCTATCAATTCGCCTCTATCGAAGTGTGACCGCTGCGTTCAGGATCAAACCAGTGACCTTCCGGTCAACAGTCGAGCACCCAAGCCACTGATACGCCGAAGCGGATGGAGAACAAATTAGGACGATACAGTGTCACTATGTTACGCATACGAAAGTACATGCGTTTGGGCCAGTAGCGCTCGTTTCGTGGGCTATAATTAAAGGCACACTGTCCCACGTAAACAACAATCCAAATAAAGAAAAAGATGTCTCATACCCTACTGCGCGGCTACGTTTTACAAAGTGCCACATACGTTTTCTTCATGCATTTTCTATTACGAACATTTTCGAAACACGCCAAGAAAATATTTTTCAGTGTTGGTCGTTTTCGTTCATTTATTGTTGTAACAGAAAAAATTGTCCCACTTGTGTTTTGAAGGCCAATCACGAGGCGCTTATCACACCATGCTAACAATGGATCACTAAGCACCGGTGGCCGACATGACCATGTGTGCCTACGCTTTCACACTGAATGGGAGAGCTCAAATAAATACGGCTGGTGAAAGTATGTATTAATATGGCTTAAAACGAAGCATATTAGCAAACTGTGCGCCATGTCGTTGCTCCTGTTTGATCCTCTTTGTTGTGCATCAGGAAGCCTCGTTCACTCACCCCTGTGCATACGTCACTATTACATCACATTATCTAGACACGCTTCCACATACCGCCTTCCACTCTCATCCGTGTTCAACCCAACGACTGTACAGCGGGAGGAGGCCGTAACGGTCAGTTCGGCCCTGCACGATTAACGCTGGCCGCTTTCGCGAGTTAAGAAATGAATATCTTGAAATCAATCTGGAAAATTGGGGTTCCTCCGATGAAATTTTTACTGATAACTGAAAGTTGAATTCGCCGCAGATTTCTTGTGTATTGCTCAATAATTTATTAAATCGGTTAGGTAGATTTATAGTATTCTTATACCATGCTTTTCTACTACGCGCATGTGTGACAGCCGGTTTCGGCACATAAAACCTGATGCCCCTGAGAGCTGTCAGTTACGAATAACGCCAGAAAATTTACGTAGATTTTTTTATCGAAAATAGGCGTTTGTTCTTCCAGCGTAAGCTTGACATTAGTCAACTGTCATTTAGTGAAATGCAATACAGTCTTATTTGCGTATGAGATGAGTGGCTCATGCTTATTTTCTTGTAAAAGTTGTCAGTTATGTGAAATCCATGTTGCAATAATAACGCAATAGCGCTAAAGAGGTCATTTCGCAGAAACTCCGTCGTTGGCGTCGTTGTAAGCGTCAACGTCGTTAGTTGTCTGCAAAAAATCATCTTGTTCGTGACCGAAAAATTGAGAAATAGCTAAGAAAATAAAAAAAAATTCTGCATCTTAGTGGGATTGGTAAACAGGTCGTTTGCGTGGCAAGCGCCTGTTCTATCACCCAGCCACGCGTCTGCTTGTGAGCAGAGTGAAAATAACTTATGCCTAGAAATGCAGTGCAAGTAACTGATACTTTACAAACATACGCGTCCTGTATACATGCGTCACAATACAACATGAAATAGAGCAATAATATATCAGGCGTCAGAACTTGTGGTTATCATAATAACGTCATGTTGTAAAGCCGTTCACCCACTACAAAAGGCACACACGTTCTTGCGCTTATTCTCTTAAGGCGACGTAGTGGGTGAATTGCAAGTTGCGCAACATTCCATGCACTACGTGCTTGAAGTACGCACTGAAGACTAGATGTCGCTATCGCATTCTCGCAATTTTTCGTCATTAGACTTCTCCCCACAACATAAAAGGCGACTGGTCGTTCTACGTTAAGACTTGCGATAGTTTATTGCATTACTCTTAGTGTACGAATGGTGCTAGTGATTAATCCTAGTCATGAAAACTGCCGCCATTCGCAATAACGTCACTTTTGTCACAATTTTTCTTGGTCCAAAATTTTTGAGCAGATCCAAAAGGCCAAGTTTGGCGCATTTACTAGACCTGCATAAAGTTATTTTTTTGTCAGTATCATCATCTTATACAAAAGCCATTAATGTTCGATGGTTGTAGCAGGCCCATGTATGAAATGTACCGAAACTTCATGGTGCTATTTACACAGAAAAAAAAACATGGGTAGAGCTATTCAGCGAAATATGTTTTAAAATGTTCGTTATAAGACGTATACGCCCCGTGTAGCTACCAGTTAACTTGTGCAGTTTATGCACTCTAGTGGCTGCATCCCAAAGATAACGAGGGCCTGCAGGGCCAGGGCTCACCTGGCGGTTCCGTGTACCTTCCTCTTTGCCTCTCGTTTCTTTTGTGGTGGCAGTATACAGGAACGGGTGCGAATGGGAGGGGAAAAAACGACGAACATTGCAGCTATCATAGGACTTTTACCTCGCAAGCCTCCTTCCGTCGGGTAGCATAAAGGCTCGCTGCTGAGGTTGGCATGTATACGTGGTGATACCTTTGTCGTAGTTTTTCTGTAAGTTTACTTTTATTGACATTCTCAGTGACAACTGAATATTTTAAAAAACACGGTATTTTTGCTTTGAAAAGCTGGCCTCCTGACATGCCGTGTTTTAAGCTATGTGAAAAACCTCTTTCCAAAATAACGTCTGCTAGCATTAGAATTGGGAATACCAAAAGGCTTCAAAGGCCCTAAAGCGAGAATGAGCAGTGCTAGAGACGGGATGGTGATGAAATGCCAGAAGGGGTGCTGGCACCTGTGGTCCTATCATCATCCCGTGTCTGGAGCTATAAGCTCCTGTTTTATTAACGTAAAAATCAGCCCAGTTAGACGCACTTATGCAAACGCGCTAACATTTTCTAAGCAAATAAAAAAATCACGCACAATGCAAGTGCTACAACTCCTGGCCCAGCATTGCTGTAGAGCAGCAGATGCTTTGTCAACTCAACTTTCTTCAGCATACAATAGAAATGTATCAGTCCTATAAGCGCTGACTAGGTTTTCGTAAAAGCAGTTCATTGTGTTTGTGACTGCGTGAAATAAGTTATCACTCTTGACCATCTGAGAAAACGATGAAGCTTTTGATAAAACCCGGCATCATCTAGGTTTATCAGAATTTTTTATTCCGTCATTCTGCGCAGTCTCTTGATGCACTAACTAACTAACTAACTAACTAACTAACTAACTAACTAACTAACTAACTAACTAACTAACTAACTAACTAACTAACTAGCTAACTAACTAACTAAATCAATAAAAACGTAAATATTTGAATAATCGGTGCATTGGCACGCCATTAGAAATAGAGGCTGAATAACAAATACATTGGGAACCACAGCTTTCGTTAAGGGGTTAGTGTTACAAAATTTACCCATGGTAGACTATCAAACTCTGCATGGGGAAGTTCTGTTTAAGTAGTCAATAAATCCCACTCAGCACAAAAATGTGAAGTATGTTTGTCACGTAATCATCACTGACGCTGGGAGACTCTTAGTGCACAATGAAAAATGGCTGAAATGATTACCTCACAAACAAACGCTGATACCACGCGTCCAAGCAAAGTTAAAAATAAAAATGTGCGTGTATCTAGCTTTTATTGCTGGTGCGGTGATATTGTGGCATGTCTAGGTACACAACCGGTGGCATTAAAATTTATATGCTTCTACGAAACCTTGTTCTTTGAGCCGTTGATCCGGGAACGTCCATGGTCAGACGTTAACTGCTTGAGCACCACATTCGTGCTTTTCTAAGGGTGAATGCTGCAGGCACTGAAAACATGAGCTGACGTAATAAGCGGCCGTCCTTGGATGAAAGAAGCGAAAAAAGAAAAACAGAGGCCAGATATTGCGAAAGGAAGTCGCCCCTCGCCGTGGAGGAGGTCGTTTTGAGATGCGCGAGGCAGCGGTGGCCGCACGCCGATAACTTTTCTCGCGATCGGTTCTGACGCCTGCTCACGACGCGGCACACTTGCCAGGAGGTAAGCGCTTGTTTTGTGTACGCGTGGCCTGGTTGACCATTTTGCGAGCGATTGCCAATATAATGTCAGCGCAGACGTTGTGTACGATAAAAAAATGAGACAGCCGAGATTATTTTGTCGCGCACCGACACGTGCTCACACGAGTCTTCCCTCTCTTCCTACTTTTGTTTTGACACTGGAGCGATTGGCCACACTCGTATGAATGGGAAAAGAAGATGTTACAAAAGAAGCTGCTACCCAGGCATCCATCCTAGCGATAGCCAGTATGAAATCATGTGGACATGTAAGCTCCCCCGGATACACCCCTGCATGGACAATGCATTGCAAGCAACGATTGATTGACATGTGAGGTTTAACGTCCCAAAACTACCATATGATTATGAGAAACGCCGTAATGGAGGGCTTGGGATATTTTGACCACCTGGGGTTCTTTAACGTGTGCCCAAATCTGAGCACACATGCCTACAACATTTCAGCCTCCATCGAAAATGCAGCCGCCGCAGCATGGATTCGATCCCGCCGCCTGCTGGTCAGCAGCCGAGTACCTTAGCCGCTAGATCATCGTGGCAGAGCTTGCAAGCAACAATTCGTACACTCCAAATGATGAGATACAAGTCGGTTTAACCCGGTGCAGCACAGGTCGAGTTTATTAAAAATTGACTGAAATGAATGTGCGCGTGGGCTAGTTGGTACACTGCCATCTTCTCAAGATTATATTCTGAGATTTCACACGCCGAATTCCCGATCTGATTTTGAGGTACGCCGTACTGAGAAGATAAGGAACAATTTTGACAATTTGTGGTTCTTTAAAATTAGACCAAATTTATGTGCCCGAAAATTTTCTTTTTCACTCGTCGCTAAATTTAGACACACACAAAACAACTAAAGGACGATTCTAGTCGCATTTCTTGTTGTCTACCTGAGTTTGAAGGTGTTAAAAGAGCATATAAAATTCAACGATGGATGAGTTTGTAGCATTATATTGAAGGTGGCAATTAAAACGAAAATAATCATAAAGTGTTCGTGGCAATTTTTACCGTGACACCGTTTTGATGCAGCGTATTGGTTGAATTAGAACGCACGCATTCGACCGCGACGTTGCATGTATCCTTTAACAACATTTTTATTTCTTTTTTTCGCGTCTCCCTTTTGCTCTCTACTTTCTTAAAAAACTTTTCCTGTATGCATTCACAACACAAAGAGTTGAGAAAGAAGCAATAGGCTTTGCGAGAGGCTCCATTATAAACTTGCATTTTAATACCCCTCACGTCATTGTTGTCGTGGAAAGAATTTAAGGCATCCCCAGAAGACAAGGCGAATGTTAAAGAACGTATTATCATAATCCTGCTGTTGACCTCAGCACAAGTTCGAGAGCGCGGTAGAGAGGCGATCTACCCAATTAAAACATCGCTGGCAATTTACAGACTATGAATATACAGTTAATCTCAGATGTCAGCAATGAATAAAATGTCTACTTCGGGCTGTCCACAATTCAGTCCTGCGGTTGTTGATTCTTTAGAACAGCTTTTATTTTTTAGTACACCCAAACATTCTTCAGAAATTCAAGTGGGAAAGGAAAAAATATTATTGTGCACACTTCAAAGCCATGATGTAACTAATTTGGCTGATATTTTATGCGCTACTCAGAAGTCATTATTTCCTTTACCTGCCGCGGTGGTCTAGTGGCTTAGGTACTCGGCTGCTGACCCTCAGGTTGCGGGATCGAATCCCGCCTACAGCAGCTGCATTTCCGATGGAGGCGGAAAGGTTGTAGGCCCGTGTGCTCAGACTTGGAAGCACGTTAAAGAACTCCAGGAGGTCGGAATTTGCGGAGCCCTCCTCTACGGTGTCTCTCATCATCATATGGTGGTTTTGTGACGTTAAACGTCGCATATCAATCAATCAATCAAACAGTCATAATTTTCTGTTGTTCGTGTAACTGCGTCAGAAAGTTTGTCGGAAGGTAACATCTAAAGCTTCCACAGTTACTTCAGAAAGGTTCCACACATCGGGGGCCTAATGCACAACACTTTTCATTCGTAGCTGCAGTTCACTCATTTGGAGGAGACGGTAGTGATATTGCAGCAGCGGCAACATTCTTTCACTGAACACTATTTCCTGGTGAAGTGAGGTTAACAAAACGTGGCTGGTCCCCTATGAAGGAATTGGTAAAACATGGAAGTGAAACACACGTGTCTTTACAGAGGTAGTTGAGCGTTCCTTGTGCCTTGTTTCAGCAACAAGATCAAATTGCAGAATCATGTTAAGAACGGCGATGTATCCAATATGTTTGCAGCGCAAACCTCTAGCAGAAAGCACACACGAAATTAGCATACCACTGCAGGAGCACAGACTAACAACTCTCACAGCTCGACACTCAAAACACGCAGTTCAACAGAAAGAAAGACGCACGAAACGAGCACACAAGTATATATATATCTATATATATATATATATATATATATATATATATATATATATATATATATATATATATATATAAATATATATATATATATAAATATATATATATATATTAAGAGTAATAATTCAATGGGCCAGCTTGTCTTCATAAAAATGTGGGATATATCACCACGCGTTGTCAACAAGGATAAATATATTTACTTACCATCAGTTTCAGTAGGGGTACTCCCTTCGTCAGGGGATAAGTTCCTTGTTGACAACGCTCCTATTGTGGTATATATATATATATATATATATATATATATATATATATATATATATATATATATATATATATATATATCTATATATATATATATATATATAAGGAAAAGAAGTGTATACCCAAGGGCTCGTTTTTCCGTGTCCTGACACAATAATAATGAGATCTAACAGACAGTAATGCCAAGGAATGTAGAGGGGAAGCCATTAGAACAAATGGAATGTAAATAAGAAAGAAAAGTGGGTGAAAAAACAACCAGCCGTGAGCAGGAATCGAAATCACGACCTTCGAATAACGCGTTCGATGCTCTAACCATTGAGCTATCACAGCGGCCTTCCCTCCATACACTTTTTTTGTTTTTATATGTGAATTTAGGAGTAGGAGTGTCAGTCAACGCCATCTATAAGCCAAGCGACGACTGTGAAACACTCTTTTATGCGCATGTGTGGTGTCACGTAGCACGTGAACTTATTACGAGCGGGCAGCTGATCAATAGTTCCTCGTATACAACCTAAGACACCAAGCCTGCCAGTACGAGACCCAACCCTACACTACCAGCCGTTATATATCGTATGAAAACATATACACCCATGAGGCCACTCACAGCCCGAACGTGAAGACACCTATCAACACCCTCTGCAACGCTGCAATTGTATACCTATCGGGCACGAGTTTGTCAACCGACAAAGTAAAACTATCATCTAAAGGACTAAACTTCTGCCCAACAAGAAAATCTTTTGATGATGCTCACTTTCTCTGAGACATCGAACACTTCGCTAAAAAATTGAGGCTGCGCGAATATTTATTAGACAAACCGTCTAACATTCCAAAGGCTCCCCACCACCAAACAGGCAATTATACACCAAACATTCACCGAAACAAGTATCGGGACCTATATTTTAACGTGGTCCAGACAGATATATTGCAGGAGTACCACAGACAAAATGGAAAGCGTGGAGACATGACAAAATCTGAGAAAAGAGTAGGCAAAACCTAACGTCTAGGACTGATATAATAATAAAACCCGCTGCAAAGGAGGGGTCTTTGTGGTCTTAAATACAGCTGACTACCTACAAGAAGTATAGCGCCAGCTAAACGACTCAAAATTTTACGAACGCCTCCTAGGGGATCCGACAGAGAAATACATGCGTATTGTAACAAACGAACTGAACAAGATGTAGGAAAAAGGAAGAATAACACGCAGTAAGCACAAAGTAATGCGACAAGTACATCCTCGTCCACGTCGTTTTTACATACTCCCGAAAATTCATAAATCCGGTAACACAGACTGAACAATAATATCAGGTATAGGCACAGTAACCGAAACCATATAGGGGTACGTAGACAAATTAATAGGCCACATTCTTTGCACTCTTTCGTCGTATGTCAAAGACACCACACATTTTCTTCGAGATATTGTAGACCTGCGCGTTCCGAAACATTCGTACTTAGTTACTCTTGATGTGTCCTCACTGTATACAAACATTTCCCACAATGATCGCATAGCGGCATTAAAAACATATACACACACCATAGACAACCTTACACCCCAGATTTTCCTTCCATCTCAAGGCTTGCAAGGCTAGTATTGGAATTAAATTCATTTGAGGTAAACCAAGCATACTTTCGACAAATCAGCGGAACCGCGATGGGTAGCAAGCTCGAACCAAACTATTTTAACATTTTCACGGGAAAACTCGAAACTAAATACTTGTCCCAAATTCTCTTGAAACCACTCTTATATACAAGAAGTATTTGACGACAGTTTCGTTATTTGGACTCACAGCAAGGATGAACTTCTAAATTTTATCGGTACTTACAACACTGTGCATCCAAACATACACTTCACACATACACCTACTCACAAGTAATCCTAAATTTTTTTGACGTTACCATAACAATAGTAGATGACAAACTTTCCACAACCCTCTACCGCAAACCAACGGATCGACAACAGTACCTCCATCATCAAGGTGATCATCGACGCCATTGTAAAAACAGCAATCCATACCACTAGGCCTACCGTTTTAAGCGAATTTGAACACTGACTACCGCGTGAGCTCACAAAGGCTAAAATTTATGCTCCATAAACAGAAATATCCTCCACATTTAATTGATGACACTATTCTAAAATCTAGAAAACTGAAACGTGATGACCTTCTTATGAAGCGGTCACCACAACACAACCTGCAACAGACACATCTGTGTTTAACTTACAGCACGAATTTCCCCAACGTTAAAAAATCCTTAAACGACATTACAACATACTGAAACAAAGTGAACGTCTCAAACGTACATTCCCATCGGCTCCTGG